TTCAGTTGCTTGCATCTTAATGGATGATGTTTATAACTGCTTCATGTTTCTTTTACGAACGTAGGTTTATCAACTTGTTGCTGGGTTCCCCAGCTCAATCCCAAGGTGGATCACAATGAGAAGGGGGATCGGTGTTTCCTTCTAGGAACCTTTTTCATGAAGGTTTCATGATGGCCAATTACTGATTCATAATAATACGGTGATTGTTCAATAAGTGATTTCCACCAGAGGGTACTTTCTGGAAGAACGACGCACCTCTAATTTTTACTGGTTCGCGAGGCTAGTTGCACCGAGTTCTGTTGTACGTGTGTGCTTCGTAGAAATCTAAACATCGATCATAAAGGAAACTACTCACATGGTTGCTGAATACACTTCGACAGCCCACGACCGGTTTCGCCCTTCTTAGGGTTCATCAGGTATGCACAGTCCTCGAGTTTCCGTCAACCTTATGCTCTACTTGGAACTAAACTGGACCATTTTTGAGAAGTACACTTATTTGCAAACCATTTGGTTTTCACGGCCTTGTGAGTAGTTTCCTGTATGAAAATATACTGTGATATCTCGAATATCGTGCCAGCTGAAACATAAGGCGCATTCAGCGCATACAGCGCATTCAGCTGTAGAATATCATAAACGAGAGATTCAATTGAGTCTCTCGTGAAAACCAAATTGATTTGCAAATGAGTGTATTTCTTGTAAACTTCGATCAGTTGTGGTTACAGCCTACTAAACACCAAGGAATGTACTAGGGTAATTCTTTGTCCATCCCAAATTAACTTAAAAAAATTTCTGTCCACCTTGGTTATATATTTCGATAATTGTTGTTCTTTTGGCCAGAAATTTGGATGGACCAGATTCCTTTCACTAGACACTTCTCCATTATGGAGTTCTTGTCATTCGATGAACAGTCCTTTTTTAATGAGTTCTTCTAACATTGGCTGTAAGATCAAGATCCTCCTCCCTCCACGAGATTGTTAGTTTCACGAGATCCCTACGTGACCCTCCGTCTCAAACACAAAAGACATCGGACACCATAGTTTCAATGCCTTCGATTTGTGCACGCGCCCCACTACTGTCATCTCTCACACGACATTATCAAGACAAATAAAAACCCCATGCTGACGACTGCCCTCAGTGGTCAGATGACACGTTTATCACCAGATAAATGGTCACTTACACAGACGGACTTTGCCACGTAAGCTTGAGAGGCAGCGAGTAAGTGAGCTCACGTAAATTGGTGAAAGTCTTTATCCCTACAAGAGCGTGTTTCACTAATTTACAAAACTGACTTGTTGAATTAGCGCGAACCCACTTTGGACGAAAATTCTCCGCCTTTACTTCAGTGGTTCATCACAAATGCAAGGTACTAAAAGTTTACGTCTTTCAGCAGGTACACAATTTCAACGGATTTGTGGCATACCGTTGAAATTTAACTTGTGTGCACAAATTCTACCTCTACGGATACTACTGCGATTCACAAAATCTCGATGTCCGCTCGCCACGTCCGGTGTTCTTTCCGGAGAGACAACCGTGTATATGGGAAAGTGTTCATCTAAGGAGTGTGTTTGCAAAGTCATATCACGGTTTCAAACCGGCTGTCCAGCTTAGCCCCGCTATAGTCTGATCAAATAACTGAGACGAAGTTGGAAAATTTATTCAGCTGGTCAAACATACAATCTATCAAGCAATGTGAGGGAATATTCGACCGATGTAAAACTCAAGCATTCTAGATGATGGTTCCTTCTTTGAGTGTGCCGGCAATTTTTGGAAGAATGTTAGTGTGCAGAGCATTTCATCAACACCTGTCCCCCATATGTTCTCCAAAATGAAATCCAAGTGAACAGTGTTCTTTTCAATAAGTTCAACTATTTTACTCGTGTGTGGTTGACACCGTCTGAGTGAATATTGTGCCCTTTTCCAGGTTTTTTAGCGGAGTAAACTTTTCTCGAGGTTTTTATTTCGTTTCTTTCTAACAAATTTGTTGAAGACTTCTACTCGTTTTCCCTTGGAAAATCGATTTGGTTGTCTGGTATGGGTCGATTCCTCTGAGTCACATGATGATCAAGTGGATAGACCACTTAAATCGATAGCTGCTTTAGCTAGCGGTAAGTTAAACGTGTCAACATTCTTATGGAGTAATACTTAGCTTGCGTAAGCAGAGATGACTGTAGGCAACCACAATTTGTTATGAATCCGGTGTAACAGAAAAATAGAATTTTAGTGAACCTATATTTCTGCGGCAAAATTAATCTGAAACCAAGTACTTCCTTTTGAGTACTTGTATACTCGGAGCCAATGAGAATGTTCACGAGTGAATTCATGTTCTTGTTTCTCAAAATGAGAGTGTTGCTTTTATATCTTTAAGAAGAGACTTTTTTCCCGTGGCGCATGTCCAGGTGATGTCCCTTTTTTCTCCAAGTATACAGATTCATCTTTGATAGTTAGTCCTGATCAGACGAATAAAATGGTGCTATGATCCCTATTCTGTAGGATAGCGGTTTCGATTTAAAGAGGTTTACTGTGCTTTCATAAAGGAAACTACTTTCAACGTTGCTGAATACTCTTCGACAGCCCACGGTCAGCTTTGCCCTTCTTAGGGCTCATCAAGTAGGCGCAGTCCCCGAGTTTCCGTCAACCTTATATCCTACTTGAACCCAAATTGGACTGTTTTCGATAAATAAACTCATTTGCAAATCAATTTGGCTTTCACGAGAGATCCAACTGAATGTCTCGTTTATGCTATTCTATAACTGAATGTGCTGCACACAGGCCAGTTGGCACGATATTCGAGATATCGCAACATTTTTTCATAAAGGCTTACTTTGTCTTGAATAGTGGGTGAATTAAAGTCACTGACTGCAGTTCAGTATCTAGTGGTTATTGACTAGAATTCTGGGGATGGTAATTTCAAAACCGTCTACTCCTGATCAAAATAACCCTCGGGGGGATTGGCCCCCTCGTCATGGGCCAAATATTTCTGTATAATCACTGAGAATTATGCATTTACTTTACTGCAGCTGACATCCATGAGACGATCAACCGAACAGCTGGGAACACCGTCAGCTTCATTTGGCCAAGATTGGCACAGAATTCAACCTTGTCTTGTTCCCACAGCCGGTTACCGAATTCCGGACCAAGATTTTAAGCTTCCTAAATTCACCGTAGCCTTATTTAATGGTTTTAACTGGACGACATGCTGACTCGGTTTGTTCTGCATGTACGATAGACTACCACGTGGAATTCAAGTTACTACTTCCCCCAAACACATCGCCCTCTAATTAGTCCGATGCAAGAACTGTAGGGCGGCCAGCTTGTGATTACCATATAGGGAGTTGAAGACGGCGTAACTGACTTCGTCGGGATCTTAACCACACCCCAGCAACAATTAACTCTCAATGGACATCGAACGTGCTTATTTTGCCACAACCTCAAGAATTTGTTCAGGCCTGAGTGCGTTTGTGCAACTCACCCAACCACTCTGGCCTGTTTCAGAATTTCCGCCGCATCACTTTTCAGACTTGAGTTCGAAGTCACCGCATGGATCAACGCTAGCAGTTCAGATACTCATGACTTAGACAGACAGACATCGTTGTTACAGCTCGTTATTTGCGTGGCAACCAGGAACGACGTTACAGCCGTGGTAGCTTGAACGAGTTGCTTGACCTTTGGACTCTGAAATGAGCCAGGTCACTAGTGCAAGCTTTTGTGGCCAAAGTAAGAAAACGGACTATCAACAAAAAACAAGAAACATTCAGACTGTTTCACAAACCGCGGCAGCCTCAGCGTTCTACGACCAGCGATTTCGTAGGCGGGCTCCTTAAAGTTTGGGGGGAGTTGACCGGTAAAATTGGTCTGTTCGTGGCATTCTTAGGAAAATTCACACTTGGAAGATAAATCTGGATAGGCATAGCGATTTAGGTCAAATACACAGGGCGACATGTGACACTAAAATGTATACAGACAGTCGCCAAGGATTCAAGCATTGTGAGCTGCAAGTTTAAACCTTCGCATTTCAGCTCCTCGAATTAAGCTAGAAATACCTGTATTTGAGGAGTGTACCGTCAAATAACGCCGAACCCAATGAAGATTATTCCCTGTTACCCAAAAAACCCATAGCTAATACTACCCATGAATAATAACGGGGTGGAGGTTTCTGTCTTCTGGTGACCAGCTAGTGTTCGTTTGTGCAACAAATGTTTCAATCTAGGAATATGTCCAGCTGTCCATGCTAAGCCAGGTGGGGCGCATGCAGAATCATCGTTTGCCGAAAAGTGCTGTTTCCTGAGCCTAATTCGGAGTTGGACAAGCATGCGGAGGGCCAGCTTTTCACCTGACACAAAAGTACAACCAGCACTACTCGTCTTCCATGATGGGGTCCGCATTATCTCCCTCTTCATGGTTGGAGGCGCTGCAATACATGACTGCTAACTGATATCAGAGGAGTTGTTCCTGTCAATTTCTATCCAAAGTGTCTGAATGTGCGTTTGAAGATACGGGCACATACAAACGATCTTGGTAGAGCAGTTTTAAGTCCCTTCCATCCACTTTCATTCTTTTCTTTAAAATACGGCTTTCAAACAAATTATGGTTGTACCATGGCGAAGCATCAGAAGTGTAGCATTGCATAGCATTGTAGCATGTAGCATGTAGCATTGCGTGTAGCAGTGCATACATAAATAGATATCCATTGACAAAATAACCGCACCTCACTGGCTAGGTTAAGCCATGTAAGTGCCATTTGGAAATAGTAACCATGCCATCGGGCCGATATCCGCAAAGCCAATTTTATCGAAGATGAAATAGCAGTTGACATAGAAACGAAATACAGCTTCTGAAAATAACGTGTTATTTTATTTCTCCTTGATATTCAGTGCACAAAACCTAGTCGGGGTCGACACCTTTAAGTTTCATCCTCTGGTGCAATAGAAACTCAGCATTTGGCAATAATTTTAAAGTGTTGCGATTCAGTTTTGGCGTGATTCACTACGTTGACTATCCCTCAGATGGATGCTGTTGGGGCATGCTGTCCGGCTTATTTGATTGGTTGACTCACTTTCGACTCTGATTGGCTCCGCGTGGCCACAAGGCAACCGGCCTGTGCACATGTGGCATGTCGTCCGTAAACCGACATTCGCGTTAGAATTCTCGCGTGGTGTGCGTCGGGCGTTGCTCACGCGTCGCTTTCGCTGTTGACGTGGTATCTGACCAAATCTGGAATATTTACCCGTCGGATCGAGTTCGCCCGGACATTATGATTACGGATTTCCGATTGGAAAGGCAACCATTTCCATACATTGATCATCGTCCACCAGTAAGTCCCTATTTTAATTCTCACCCCCACCGTCAAATCATGTGGAGATTCAAGAAATGTACAACTAGTCTTTTGTAATGCACTACTCATAAGGTTGCTGAAAACACTTTGACATCGAGTCTTATTTTTATGGGTTATTCTGAAAGATTCTACTTCTGAGCCGTGTTCCAGGGGGTTCATAGCTTACTGTACTCATGATCTGCTGATGTTCAGCAGGATTGTTATGAGTTTTGGTTTCACTCCCCCACAGGCTTCTCGAGCTCTTACCTAGTTCACTAAGGACGATTAATCAGGCTTTCCCATGGCAAGGAATTTTGCGCGTGGCAACTCACCCTTCAGATTCCCTTGTTACTCAGACAAATTTCCAGGACATCTATGATTATTGTTGCTTTTGGTCGGGCGACGGACAGGCTGGAGTGTTCCGTTAGTTCTTTAGCTTGTCTGCTTCATCTACTTGAAAAACACTTCGGAACACTGCGGTTTCCTACCCCATAGTAGTTTGAAATTGAGTTGGAGATAAGTTGTCTAATCCAGGTGAGCTCACTGAGTTCATTCGCGTTATAAAACATCACTTTTTGCTGGCAGTTAATGCCCTGCCGCTGTCAGGCATGAGTGATGATAGATGCCTATCCACAAAGCCGTATCCAGAGCGAGTGAACCGCAGTCCTTCGAACCGTCCAGTCATCTGGTCATAGTCCACCGAATTAGTCATTGCGCAAAAATAGGAATTGCAATGCAGACACTTGCCGTACTTTTGACATCTGCCACTGCGTCCGATGGAACACTTCAGTAAAGGGTCATTGGCTGTTGGCTAAAGATCGCTCAGGCTATCAGCCACTGAGATACACGGATATGATTTACATGTTCTGATGCAGGTTTGAGCTTGTGTGACCGCATCGTCAAGATCCACTGGCACTTTGTGATCCAAGACGTTTCCGTTTAGATTACAGGCGTTGAAGCATACAAAAGTAGTTCCGTCGTCTGCTTGAGTCGATCATTCCGACTCCAACCTAGTTAGCTTCATGTTCCTGTCGTCTGGCTGTACTTTTGAGGTGAAGGTCAACCCAAGCCAGGAGTGAAAATCGATATGAAATCACCGTCATTATGGATCTCGATGGTGGCCTTCCTTTAACTTCCAAAAGACTACGAACAGTACAAGCGGGGTTAGCTACACTGATTAAATGAGTCGTTGTTGGTCAGCCAGCCATTTTTTTATTTAAAAATCGTACATTGCATTGGCTCCATTTGTTTCTCGACTCATTATACGGGTCATGAGGGAGTGCGGTCCAAGAGTCTGAGGTGATGGCGTTTGTTGACGTCAAATGGATTTGTTTTTGGCATGTACAGGAGGGATCCTACGCGAGTGAGCCGCGTGGTAAGAACATTTCCGGTCAGACGCTGGCAACAACTGAAGTGACAGAAGGCGAAGGAATCTGATAGGATAGGCTATCAATGTAAAAAATTAAGAAATCGATAGGCAGAGTCGTGTCCCTCAAAGTATCCAGATAGGAACGTTTTCAACCAATGCGTGACATCGAAACACGAGATGATGAAGTTTTAGAGCAATCACGACTCCTCATCAGCAGAAAAGCGAAGTGAGCACCGTAGTTGGCACGTTCAGTAAAGCTTATGTCTGTACAACCAGAACAAGCACTGTAAACTGTTTGAATGTATGACAGATTGCATCATTGTCTAGCGTTATTCGGCAGGCGGTTATGTGGGAGGTCGACTGCGGTTAAAATGACTGTTGAGTTAGGGCGAGCAGTTCAGTAAGGTGGAGTGGGACAACTGAACGTTTCCTTATCTGTTGTAGTGCATATGACTGTTTCATCCTACTGGTATATAGGAGGTCTGAGCAGGCCGGTTTTGTCAGCTGGTAGGAGACCGACGCGTTAGTGCTAACATGGTGTCTCAGAGCATGAGGATTTGGCACTTGTTCGGATTTGAAAACATCTGATCTCCCAAACTGAAGTGTGCATTGTATGAGATGATGATGAGGGCATGACGGATACGAATGGCTTACTGTTTGTTTCTTGATGGCATGGCTGGAATGAGGAACTGAAAGTTAACGAGGGGTAAGAAGTTACCAACGAAGGTTTCCATGTTACATTTCGTGCAGCTGTGAAAAATGAATGCATGAATATAGTGTTTTTCCTTCTATTACCGCTGCAAGGGGGTAGCGTCTAACAATGCCATCTGGATTAACCCGAAGGAATTGCATTTAAACAACTGGGGGCCATTTGGATTGCTCAAAATTGGCAATAAATCCCATGATGGTATGTAACATGGCTACTGGTTCGTCTTTGGTGGGATAGCAGATCAACACATCCATACCGTTTCAGTAGGCAATAGCAGATTAATAGCAGGATGCTTGCCTAAATTGCCAAATATCTGGGGTTCGAGTTCGACAGGCTTACGGGCATACACTGCCAGTGGGCCCTAAAGAGGAACACGTCCATTAATGAGAACTAAGAAGGGTGATTTTATGAATGGTCGAGAACGGTTGGGGCGGAAAATACTTTGGCAACAGGGGGAATGTACGAATAGATGCTCAGTTGAAGAATTGTATAATCGAAAGATTCAGCTGAGTCTACCGTCAACAGCATCCTACATCGCATTTAGATAGTAACTTTTCTTGTTTTGATTTAACATTCTTTCGGTGTCATGATACCTAAAGGAACCGCGCAGTCTGAGATACTGAGTTTGGACAAGAGCAGTCGAATTGCACAGGTTGTGTATGAAACACGGACATTCTGGTCAGTAATTCGAGCCTTAACCACTGAGCTATCTCAAGCTAAACAGGCGATTAGCTCCTTACACCAAATTTGGTGTTCCGTCAAAAACTAGGCTTTATCGAAACCCCGAAAGTACGTTTATCCAATGGGTCTTGCACCGGACGAAATCGACATTGGTTTGCTTAAGACAGTAGGTTGGTGTTGTAATATCGGAGTAAAATTAGCCTAACGGCAGATTACGCTTATTTGTTTTAGCTGTTAGAGCCAGATCCTGACCGCCACGATTTCGTTCATTGGTGATGTAGGGGGATACAGATAAAGACAGACTTGAAGGGGCAACATTCGGTTCGCGTTTCAATAAAAGCAACAACGATAGAGGCAGTTTGGACCGCATAGAAACACACGTTTATCCATCGAAAGACAATTCACTGATCTGTAGGAGTTGACATAATTTGAAGGAACTAATTGAAACATCAACTAGAAGCTTATCCCATTTACTGGCCAACATGAATTTCTCCCGCTCATAACCGAAAGTTGAAACGTCACCCAGAATCCTGGATAATTTCTGTCTCATTTGACACTTGTTCTGGAAGCCACCCACCCAAAACTCCCAACATTCAATAGAACATGTTGTTGCCATGACTTTGGACAGTCTAGCCATACCTCTTTCTTCACCTGCGTATTAATAGGGTTTATCTTCCGACTCCAAACAGTTCACGCTTGGTGATTTTATAAATTGGCCGGAAATTGTTCTATAACGTGATGTTTTTAAAAGTGGAAGGATCTGATGGAAACGGCTGATGTGTTTGCTTCAGGTTTGCAAATTTAAAGATGAAACTAGCCCGTTGAGTTGGTGATTATTCTCGTTGGAGTAAACGAGAAATATATCTCCAGCATGTCACTTTCCTATCCCGTTCGTCGCTTGTCCCATGGGAACTCACCGCTAACTTCCTCTTGCCAAACATTGATCAATGGAATTCGCACCTCATATCGTGCACCGATGAGGTCAACCAGACTTTCCTTCTAACGCGTGTCATCACCGTAGCCTTAATTGAGTTCTAACCCGATAATTTGATGTTATCTTCACCAAGTCTCGATGTGTCTAATCTAACTGCCTGGCCGTTTTATTTGTTTTTATGTTTTCAAACGTCAGCGTCGGCGGTAAACAGCATACATGTGCCACAATTCTGTTCACCGGTGATCTGTGAGGATGGGCGTAGCTGGCAGTAGCTGATGTGTGAAGCTAGGAGTGACTGGAATTTTTATTTGGTAGATCGGGAAAAGAAGGAAGGACACAGCTTGGATGCATGTGTGAGCGTGCATTGTATTCCACTAACACGTAGCATCTCGAGGTCGCGATCCAAGGAGACCACAATGACCCGTACGCATGATTCTGCTGGTAATGGCTTCGATAATTTACTGCTGAGGCATTGTCATAGTTCTCTCTCGACTGAAGGGATTTGTCCTAGACCTGGTTGCGCAAAAGCAGCGAAGGCATTTAATCCTTGGTCTTTAATGCTCGCTTCGCAAAAAAGTAAGCTATACTCAAGCTTATTCAGGGTATTTATAAATGGAGAATCTGTTGTATAGATTACTGCGAGAAAGATCGAAATGCTGTGCATTTGAGACAGCGGTTGACGATAAACCCCATAGTGAGCGGTGCCCAAAGGGGCTCCCTAATTAGATAATCGGTCGAAGTAGTTAGAACTATTCATTGGTTATTTTCTTTTTGGGGGAGAGGGCGAACGGCAGCTTCCGCAACAACGTTCCCTTTGTTTATGCATCAAAAGCGAAAACTCGAGTTTTCCTGTGCTTGTAAAGGTGTTGTTTAATTTTTTATTAGAACTACTCGAACTATACTGTAAAGCTTTTCGGATCCTGTTCACCCTGCAATAAATTCAAATGGCAGCAAGTTTCAGGAAAAGTTATGTCAATTTGTAAAACGGTTCTTTCCACATTTCCTTCGGGGCGAGAGTTTTAAGGACGGAAACAAAAGTTTGCTGTAACAAAATATCCATGGCAACACTTTTTGTTCTAATCGGCTTCATAAAAGCTAGCCCCATAACATTTAGTGCTGAATGTTAAATTCCGTAAAAACTAATGATCTTATTCACACATTATTCCTATATAAACTTTTTGTTCCCTATTTAGCGAGCAAATGAGTCTAATTCGATCGGTACGGTTGAACTTGGACGAACGAATTTCACGCTAGCTGACACGGGAGATGCTGCAACATTTTACTCACCACCAGGCGTTCGTAAAGCTAAATTTCAGTCCACTACTTTACCCACCTGTCGTGCCGGCGATGCATGGGACGTGCGCTTCACAATTCCTCGTCTTGACAAATCCACGGCGGATAGCTCAATGATCATCGAAGACAACTGGAGCCCCGCTCTGTCTTGTCCAGTTTCCACTTTTTTCAGAAGTAAGTCGCGTTCATTGGTGACCATGCGACCCAATCGTTTGAGTGCATTTTCTCGTGTTGATGCAACTAATGGATATTTTATTCCAAATTGTAGATAGGCATTCCGAATTTGGTTTGCAAAACAACCGTGCTTCGGACGCATCCTCCTTGCGTGTTAACTCCACGATTCTATCCCGATCCTCATCACTCTCTACGCACCGATCAGATGACTTTGTCAGTTTGGAAGATCATTACATACGTTCACTGTTTGACAGACAAGCTCAACTGAAATCACAGCTTGGTCGTCTGAACAACGAGTTGCTGGAGCTGTTACATGAAGAGTGGGTAAGTCGCCTCTGCTACCGCGACTCAACGTAGCTCATTAAGGTAGTTTTTTAGGCGAGAACGAACTAACGAGGATATCTGTTGTTTTCCCAACCTTGCAGTTTTGTCCGAGTTTTCGCCGTCAAGTTGGCAATACATTACTCGTTCGTTATACGAAACCTTCACACGAGTATGGAGCCCCCCTCATACCCAATTTACTAATTAAATTCCGCGGCGCAGTACTTTGAATCAAGCGTTCATTGTCTAATATTTTTCCAATGTAAGTCGAAGGTCGTCCGGGTGTTAACAACAAAAACACCAATTTTCTGCCGGGTGTTTGTAACCGTGTCCTCATTGCGCTCGTTTTGCACGGCAACTTGAACTAGTTCACAGAAGAACGAAGGAACGCTGTGTGACCTTTAGTTCGGCCGCAAAAAGTAGCAGTCAGCGATAAGCATATTAGGACGCCAGTTTGGATTTCCCACTCAGCCAGCAGTAGGGTTCAATCACCTTATATCTTACGCACAATCAGACGTACATTTGCAACTGAGGAAAAGTGCGTGTTGGAACATGGTTACCTTCACCTCGTACAAGACATTTGACACGGTAAAACGCCGCCAATTGGTTCTGTCACTCACTAACACCACAGGCTAACTTTACATTTAGCCAGAGTTCATCTGGCCCTTCAAAATACGAAGATGGGGAATTCAAACCAGTTTTCTGGTTTGCGAGGCTGCACCATTGTGTGAAGACGGCACCACAAATATATGATTTGCTAACTAGCCTACAGTGCTTTGCGGACATCAGCGTAGTCTATTTTAGCCTACGTAAACTGAGACCTCCTGTAAATTATTCATTTTTCTACCTGTCCCAGAAAATAACCGGCGTCGTTCCAGAGGGCTATGATGAACTACGGATCACCACCGGACAACCTACACAACCACTGAAGACCACTTCGTTTCCACTGCCCCGAACCATCATTCAACGTGCCAATACGTTTTCGCGAGACGGATGTAAGGACACTAACATCCCAAGGCGGAACACCTCTACTGTAAGTGATTACGCTTTCGTTGCCTTTACGTATTGCTAAGATGATAATATGCACTGAGAATGACACTGAGCTAAGGTCGTTTACAATTTAGTCAACTTGAGGTTTTCATGGGCTATTCATCCCAGAACAATTTTGCGCGGTGCTGAGTATGCTTATTTTATTTACTTTATTTTCCGAAACGACCGCCAAGACAACCTAGCGTTCCCACTGTTTTTTAAGGTAACAGGTGTAAACTGAGTGGCGGTCAATTTATCAGTCCCATAATGACTTTCTTTCGATTAAACAAAAACATAACGTAACCTAAGATACAGGCTAATGTTTCGTCGCTAATCAATTTGCCATAAATTTCCATCTATAGGGGTTTCTTCAGTTCGTAGCGGGTTTGTCCATTAGAAACATTTTTGTTTCAAGGTTATTCACGGATTTAATTTGGTGCTGAGTTAACTGACTAAGTTGAGATAATGCTGCATGCTTTCATTGTTTACACAAAAATGGTTCATCAGCTAATTAAACGACTGCCCTTCATTTTCCGTTTCCAGATATCCCAGTATTCCACGCATACTTCACCTCTTCCTTCTGTGAAGTGCCACCGGGACACATTTCCTCAATTAACTTGCGGTGAGAACCTTCCCGGTAGGAGCTATTCTCTTGGAAAGGGCACACATGAGACCTCGGCTTCTCCCACTAACATGCGTATTACCTCTCCGAAACATGAATATAGATATACATCCGTCCGTATTCCAGATGAAACCGGAGCAGATGATGAATCGTGGCGGAACGACCAAGAGTTCAACTCTGATGTGTTTCAATCTAACGAGGAAAAACTTTCATCCAACGGTAACACCATCGTATCAACTGAATATACAAATACTTGCAGTGAGCAGACAACACCCCATATCCATAATGATCACCCTACACCCACACCTCTACCAGAACCGGATGAAGAGGATGTTGACATCAGACAAGCGTTCATCGAACTTCAATTACGCCGTCTGGAGGTCGATTATGCTGTCATATCAGAGCTCTATACGGTTCACAAAAAACGCGCTGCCGAGACCAAGCGTGAGGCCTACCGAATCGCCTATAGGACAAACTTGCAGAAGGTATATATGAAATCAGACCTGCATTTTTGGCATACGTACCATGTTAACCATAGGAATCACATGAGGTGTCGAGTCTTCAATTCAATTAAGCTCAGATAAAAACAGTGGAGAATTTGCAACTTGACCATAACTTAGCATCTTTCCCTCATGTGTCCGGATCCCAATATCTGGCAGCGCTTTGCTGGAAATATAGTGTAAGTCATTTCTTATCGTTGTCACATTCAGGAACTAGAGGTGCTATGCACAGCTTACTTTGTAATTACTCGTAAGTTCCAGGGACAAGAACTGCGTACCTCAATGTACACCCACCCAACATGATCCGTTGCTAGATGTCGAAATACCAGACCAAGCCCATTTTGCAGGTCCCATAAATCCTTCCATTTAACTAGCTCTCTGGCTCTCTTGCAATTAGCCGCACCATGTATTTGCCATCCATTCTTGGTGTTTAGTGACTTGACGGGGACAACCAATCCATTGCTAAAGACAGAGTTTGTTATCGAAAGTTGGACCCAGTATGTACAGCAGCACTCCCTTCGACACGGCAATCATTGCACGCTTTGTCACCTGAACTCTAGCAACTCGGTGAACACTTCACGTTTTTCTGACACTGTACACTTACGCCTAACCTTGTCTAGCACCCTTATCCGTACGGTACGTGTGGACGAACTATGGTGAATGAAAGCGTGGCAAGGCAGCTAGGCACCGGAAAAATGTTACTGCTAAAAGAATTCACTGAGAGAGTTTTTTGGTGAATGGATATATTTTGTTATCTCCAAAATCGTTGAGCCAAAGCGTGATGCGCGCGGGTGATTAGTTACTACAGATGTGGGTGCACCTGTCTACTAGTCTACTTGCTTGAGCATGACTTTTCGTGAGTTTTGACATTCCTTGCACACACGAGCACCTCACCAAACACTGTTAGCTTACATTCGATGTATCTAGACAGAGGAGCTCATTCACGTCCCCTTCCCCTATTAACATTCCTCTGGTGTATATTTTTAGCTGAAAGAAATACATATACAAATGGAGCAGCTTCGAGCGAAACTTGGAGAGGATCACCAGTCTTCCATTTCTCAAATCACACCAAGGCAGCACAGACGGACATGGAAGCCGCTTTACTATAAAGCACGCAACTGGACAAGAGGGCCACTCTCTAGACCGATTTCCCGCACTTGTTCTCCGCTGGAATGCGCTAGGCAGCCGATGGGTTCTGTGCCACGGGCATCCAATACGTCTTGCCCGTCACCCACATTATTCAAAGCACCAGCAAGTCCGACCAGTGGGTCCTGTGCTTCCCGTGATACGTCTTCACGTCTTGCGCCAGATGCTAGCTCTGAATGTGGAACGGAATCAAGTCGGCTGAAGGTACTCAAACGTGTTCGGCGACCTACGTTACTCCCGCTACTCCATTTCTTCCATTCCGGGAGCGGAATGTCGCACTCGGAGGTCTTAACGCATGATAAAGCAAATACTACCAGCGTTCCGCAAACGGCTCACTTGGTACCCCGCGGTGATGCAACAGTGATAGAACAGGAGGTCCTCACTTCTGTAAAGCCAATCATACGCGAACCTTCAAAAAGTTTGAAGCTGGATTGCAATGGATTTCAGAGAGAAAAGACGGAGTACCAGCCTTCGCCTCGTATCGAAGAATACAACGAATTTCTTTGGCCCAACTCACTGAATGCCACTCCTGTGAACCCCGAAGCGAGGGAAGAAGCTCGTTCCACCATATCTTTTCACGGATCTTCTACTTCTCCAGGATACCGAGTGAGTGCTTAGTGTGCGTTTGGTAAAATGTTGGGGGCTCTATGACTTGAACCTTACCACTGGTGCCTATTCAAGCACCCTTGTACGTTTCAGGTCTGGTTTCTATTCCTGTACTAGTTCCTTGATAACAGCGCAAAGACAGGTGAGGCTTTTGGCATTCACATTGTGAGGCAGTCCCTTGAACAATGTGGACTGCATATTCACTTGACGTCGATGTGGCTTGTGATGGAAAGGAAAGGAAAGCGTTCAGCTGTAGCACCCTTTCGGTGCCTAGGTGCCATGCCACCCGAAGGTTGTACGAGGGCTGGGATACTACCAGGTTGCCCAAGCCTAGATAGGGGAAGTCTGGTGGCGGAGGTCGGATTCGAACCACGGACCTTCCGGTCAGTAAATTCGCGCTCTAACCACTTGGGCCATCTCGCCTTCGTGGCTTGTGATAGCCACGTCCCAGCTTTTTGTAGCTTCCTTCTGGTTTGAAGTGGAAGAGTTCCATGTATCCGTCCATTCAGGATAAGCTCAGTACGCCAGAGGGAGAATGTTAGAGTTTAGTTACTACATCAGTCCTTAACTATGTGGCAGTGATCTTTCGAGACAAATCATTCTGCCTGGTTAATAGCCAAACAATAGTGTTGGCAGCATTATCTTACAATCTATCTCATCTACTCTTTGGATGTCAGCAAATTCCGCGAACACCGCACAAATGTTCCGAAGGAACGTGCCACATAATCCACTGACTTCTTACCAGTTTGAAAGCAATTTCGCCTATGTGTGAAGTGTGCGACGAGACATAACACGTTCACTGTACCACGCATCTATTTCAGGAGCATGGCCTACCTGAAAGCTCCTCGTCCCTGAAATACCCCGACAAACTGAAACGCAGGCTCAAACGAATACGATCCCTATCAAGTATGGTGGAAGGGGTTTGTCTTGATGACAGTCCCACCAGCGAACTGAGGAATACCAGAAGATCACCTCCGAAGCTGCTACAACGCTGTTACTCTTGGTCAACCCTGAACTTTTGGCTTTCTCGTAATTCGCAGCCGGAACAACGACTGCTTGCCGGTGATTGTCGCGTTAGGTAAGCCTCCGTGAATCCGCTCTTAGCACGCATTCGCCTTACTTATTCTTCAAAGTAGTATTCGAAGTAGTCCGCTAGGAACAAGTTAAATTTAGCGGTTTTTTTTGCTCACAATCTCCAGTCTTGATCGAATAGATCGTTGAACCTCACTGGTTAGTGGTTTAACCACTGGAAAGCACGCCTCACGTTGGGCTTACTTCCGCAGCTCCCTGAAGTCAGGATGTGGCAGTGTTTGTCGACTTCTCGCAGACATTGTGTGGCTCAATCTTCACACAGTCTTGATAGTCTCTGCATTCACTGACCAGTTTGAAGAAACCACGTTCCAGCTGAGAATCCAGGTCTATGTCCTAACGCTCGAGGCATATTGAGTGTGTGCATTGAAGTTTTGCGCGTTGAGAGCTCCAAAGACGTGTGAATCTTAGTTTGTGAACCTAACAACGGGGCTATTACCAATGGTTTTGGGCCATTTCATTTACTCAAACGTGAATGGTCTAAGAGCGTGAATTTTCGCCTTCAGAAGGAAGTATCGAAAATCTCATCGTATTCATATATTATACTAGAATTTACCAATAACAGTCTTTAATGAGCAATGCGTACATTCATTTCCCACCGGGAAGGCACGATCGCAATGAAATTGAACCTCTACGAAAGTTCATTCTGTATTACATTTCACTTTCCTCGAAATTTAATTACTGCAGAAATTACTAGACCTCCGATATAACATACTGTTAACTAATAACTCTGATATACAGTAATTTTGCTGTCGTGATTGATACGTTTTTGTCCTTGTACCAATAAATCACTCTTTATTCTCTCTCCAGATACCCCTGTGGCATACCGACACAAATGAGCGAGGGCTCCGTGGATCCATCTAGACTTTGTTCGCCGCATCAGACTGGCCGCTTCGCTTCTACATTCCCTTCGGGCAATTTTCAAGCCCAGAAGCAGTCCCGGAATGCAGCAACTTCCTCGAACACGTCCTCTTCTAACTGGTCTACATCAGGATGTTCATGTATGTCGTCCCAAATGGGTGATTCTGGCTGCGAAATATCTTCCAAAGAACCGAGCTCAGATCTGACAATTCCATCCAGTTCTTCTCGTCTCACAGTTGAGCGTACATATTACGATTCGGCAACCAGCCAGATGAATTCGTCAATCAAGCTTCGGCAGCTTCCGAACCGTCGGCAACCAATTCGTTTGAAAGACGTCAGAGGGCGTGTTCCTTTCATAGAAGAAGAGTCCGGTTCACCATATGGGACGTCTCTACGGGTCAGATGTATATGCAGCTGTCTTTCAGAACATGGAGATCAGCCTTGGGATACCAAGAGTTGCATGCACAATCCAACGCGTCCTTGTAGTTACTACTCCCCAAAAAATCTTGAAGCGGATGACGGGGTTTCCCTGAGTGATTGCTGCCACAACTTTGTGAACATGGATCCAGATACAACCCCGCCACCAGAAGAATTCATTCCCAGATCGTTTGATAATGGCGAGACTACTCTTACCACTTCTTCATGTCGATCCTCTTCTCTTTCTCCAACTTCCCATCTGACTCGCGATTCACAAGTACCAACCGATCGCATCAAAGAAAAGACTGCAACCGTTGATTTGTCCTCTGTTCAGGACTTGAAGCGATCAAACCTCCGACGTTCTGGACTAAGATCGTTTTCACTCCTCAAGCAGACCGTTTCTCGCATGGCCTCGGATAAGCGAACTACACTTGTGCTAAATGTTAACCACACGCGTAGATATTCGCTGACGAATACCAAGTTGCCGACTCCTAATTTGAGTAAGCGGAAATCGGGAGTTTTCAGCACACCTCAAACTCACACCGTTGGTGACGGTTCTGGTATAAGCCAAGCCAATCCACTGTCCTTATCGATTGAAGAGAAGTCGAAACGCACCGGAAAATTTACATGGACCCCCAAGCTTCGGAATTCAGTTAGATTGGTCCGCTGGCCCAAATAACCGTACAAGTTTATCATTTTCTCATCTGTGATTGACTTTTCCGGTTAAATCCCCCAGTAGCTCAGATGTACATACATCCTGATCTTTCATAGCCACTCGTTGAAGACCGCCCCGTTAGTTCTTTTTCAATGTATGTAATCTGTGTACAAACGGATACATTCTGTACACCCGTGTTGCATCCCCGCGGACGATTTCCTTGGTCTTCAACGGTTTACAGCTATTTCGAATCCCTCTATGTATGATTTCGTTTTTTGATTCCTCCAGCAGATTAAAATCGACCCATTTTTCACTGACTATCCGTGTTCAAAAAGCTTCATTCCAGGCTGGCTATCTCAAAACATTGCAGTTAACCAATGTTGAATACCGGCAAACTAATGAACGGGTCGGAATATTTATTCAGACTTGACACATAGGGTATCGATCGACGTACTTGAAAGAAACACTGGGACATCAGCTTGGTTCAGCCAGAAAACTTTCAATGATTTTCCGATAAAGCAACCCGTTCGATGTGGCGCACAGCAGGTCTTTCCGTCTGGAAAGCTGTTTCACTGGAAACGGCCTAACTCGCATTAGCATTTTATTTATTAAAATGCTTTCGAATCGGTAGTAGGCAATTCAGTCTTTTTTTGCTATGAGCTTTTATCTGGGATGATGAATTCGGTGAGTCACACGTATTTGAAAGTAGGGTAGTAAACCATTTGTGAATTTCAGCGAATCCCATTACTACGATGACGCAGTTTAGCGTTAGGATTTGATCATTTTTGCCAGATCCAGGTCTTCTGGAATGGCTTTGTGTGCAGGGTGACCGCCGTAATCCTTCATTTATTGAAAGAACACGATGAAGGGGTATTGAACGGTAATCACAAAGCCATAAGAACACTCGTAAGTTCGAGTAAACTTTCGGGACTAGTTAGCAAGTACGCAATTCCAAACATAGTTCGGGTTATTCCCGTCTGTCAACTACAAACCATATCCCAAACAACATTGGATATGCGGCTACGGTAGCTTTGCTCTACGGGCCAACGAAATATCATGTCCACAAAGTGAGTGAGACCTTCTGTCTACGATTCTTTCGGGCTGATCTTCTGGATGAGTAAACGGAGGGTTACATATTTAAGTACGAACAGATTTGAATGCGTGGTTGGATCACATCTGTCGGCCTCACGGTTACCCCGGTTTCTTTCCAAGGCACTATAGCAGGAACACAGAAAATAGAACAGTAAAAGGATATTCCAAATATGCCTTCCATTCTTCGCTGCCAAAACGGCTCTGACATTTATCTAGCAGCCAGTGTTGCGCAAGTAGCGCGTCACTCCCTTAAGATTCGTTTCGACGATCGATGAGGACGTTCGGGTGAATAAACAGAACCAAAATCACGAGATGGTGATGAGCCTTCAGCTAGACCGATGGCGTACCTCATTTGGGTTTCTGATGACGACGCAGATGTGTCACTTGGGTTCGTTAGAGTCAGATATGGATATCACTGTTGGGGCTTACCACCATATTCAACACGTCAGAATACATAAAGGTAATACACATACCTTCAGAATTTCAAATAGTTTCGAAAGGCTTCATAAACTTTTTCACTAAGGAATTGAATTTCTCTTAGGATTTTCAAACAGCCATTGATAAAGTGCAGTTTGTCTACTAGCAAGCAGTAGCAGATATTTAATGATAGGAATCACTTGGATTGGTGGAGATCGGAATAAACATTAACATGGTGTCAATAGAGACCTGGAAAAACCCAGCTGTTCCCTCGTTTGTGACACTGTAGCCTGGCTCGTGACTCAGCTGCTACGATGTTTGTGTTATCCTAGTATGTTTTCTTGACGTTACACGCTACTCATACTCGGGTCGAAGAGTGTGCTCTGGTTGAGATCATAATCCAAGCGGGGGTCCCTTCTGTTCACATTAAACTGGCATGAAGAAGTTGGCAACACCGGTATGTATACATTTGCTCAGATCGTGGAAGAGACAAGCGGGCTCGCTTCCGCTCCACCGTTGAGAGACATGTCAAATGAACATCACTACACCAGTCAGCTATTCATCGTGCTGTGTACAAAGGTTACTCAAGTTGGCTTCTTTTGGATAGGCAACCTGGGTTGAGCTTGTTCAGTCGACGCTGCTTTAGCCGCTGAGGTTGTCACCTGGAAGTATCGTGAACGAAATTTTCCGGACAGGTCTATAGTCGATCTAGTTGGCGTGTCATCGTCGAGACTAGCTGACGAATATTATTCGTATTCCTCTTGAGGAAAACCTTTACTGCCCAGAATGGCTGTGATTAGGTAGGGTTACTTTTGTACAGTTGAAGGCGAGAAAACTGATGCTCAGCACACGGCAGCCAACAAATGGATAAGCCTTTCTTATTTTCTGTTCACTTATAAACTGTTTCATACCTACCGCTACCAGGTCAAGGAAGGGAGGCTTGTTGGGATCTGTCATGTAGGCGCAAAACAATGTATCTGTCAGAAGGAAATTTCGTTAATTTCTCTTCGGAACTTCAGTTCTGACTGACAAATAGATATTCGGAAACAACTTATTCGCAATTTTATGGGGTACATTCACCCCAAGTTGAGAAAACCTGCTGTCTTTAGCCGGCATTCACGTATATCAAATCGATGATGACGTTGAAAACTACGGTAGCCTGATGAAGTGGAAACGTTTCATTTCACCGATGCGATTGGACAATTAACTTGTTGGGATCGCAACTTGAGTGCGACGAAAAGGATTAGAAGTTGTCTTTGCGAGGAAGAGGCTTAATGTGTTGTTTTTTTGCGAATTTTGACAAGTAAATAGACAAACTGCTAAAAGATTATGTTTCAGGATGTGAAATATAAGTGAAGTCGATTCGTAGCTCTTGAGATAGAGTGTCTTCGAAATAACATTTGAAGTTAAGATTGGAAAATCTGTGCGCATTTGCTCATGTGCAGTGGTCCGTAAGGTTCTGCCTAACCTAGTGACATAAATTGGAGAACAACAGGCGTGAAAACGTCCCTGGTCCAACTGTGACACGCTGTCAGCTGAAATAACTTGAACGAATACCTGACTTCTGCACTCGGAAAAAGATGTATGGGCCAATGTTACTCATCCTGATCGATTTGTCTACGTGGTTTGTTCATTATGTTCGTAGCTGCATGGTGAAAACCAGCTGAACAATAAGAAATGTCTCTGTGGCTTTTTAATGATAAAGTAGAATCATTATTTGTGATGCTAACTTTAGACGTTAGATAAATAACATTCATTCCTGAAAATACCATACAAGGGAGCCAGTAATATTCACAAAACACTTGAGTTTGCGGTCGATTCGGGCTGAATGCTTGATACAACTCTACTTCCCTTGAGTACCGCGACAGTAATGGTCAAACCATTTGTAAGCGAGCTAAACGTAGTAGGTGATGAAACATCTACCATATGATGTTCGTTCAGCTGTAGCACCCTTTCGGTGCCTAGGTACCATGCCACCCGAAGGTTGTACGATGGCTGGGATACTACCAGGTTGCCCAAGCCTAGATAGGGTAAGTCGAGAGTCAGAGTTCGGGTTTGAATCACGGACCTTCTGGTCAGTAAATTCGCGCTCTAACCACTTTGACCATCTTGATCCTACCATATGATACATTAAGGCTACTTTTGTTCTTCTTTTTCGAACCACGGCCACATTGCTTCCGGCTTTACTAACCCTAGACAGAGGCCCGAAAGGGATGTGAATTGCAGACGCTCAAATTATATCTTGAGCTCTGAGCCACATCCAACTCAATCTTCAAAAGTTTCGACTGTTGATAGCGGTTGAGCAAGTTATCTTTTAAACTCTGGAAAGTCTCATGAAACTGATCAAAGTAAATTGCTAGTATCGGGAGCGGATTTATTGATTAACAGCGGTGTAGTCATTAAATGTTTCCGTGCAGCTGGGTAGTCACAGTAAACTATTGCTGTGTGTCCAAGCACTTAAAACAAAACTGAAAAACCATCAGGAAAACAGTGCTTCAAGATCAACGTCAATGACGATGGAATCATTCAGTGTCGCACAAACCACCCGACTTATTCTTTGGAAGATTCGGATAGGTAAGGTGGAAGCTTTGTTTTAGTCCAACATTAATAACCGAGGTAACTTAAACTCCATATATCAGCCATTAAGTCCAAAAGGAACCGACAAAACAGTCACACAAGTGAAATGGGTTCTCAGTAAAGTGCCCGCACTACAGTTGCCATTCATATCACTCATAATTTGACAGTTACCATTCAGATTATCCCGTCCTCTTGGAGCAAGTAGCTAGGGAATCCATCTACTCAGAAGTAGTGTTATGATGAGCCCATCGTCCAGACACATCAAACCATTCAAGCGCAACACCAAATAAGACAATTTGCTTGCTAATAGATACTTTGCGCATTGCCATACCAACAACCATGGACTAAATTTGTTGAACTGTCACCCAAGAACCATACAAGGTATCATATATGTCACAGAAATATGCCTCAGCCCCGAAGTCTGACAGAAATTTTCCTACCAGGCAAGTCTGCCTTCAGGACAATCAAAAGGTTTTGGAGTTTACAACTTCCATCCAACTCTCCAAGTTACCGACATTCTGTTCTATAGCATTACAGCGATTCACAGTTACAAATTAGGGTAGCTATCAGTTACAGCACTCCAAACAGTTCAACCAATATGGACGAAATTTTTTGATCTGTGATCCACTTCAATCCCAAGTCAATCATACGTGCTTCTCAGCTGCCAATCCTCCACCGTCGCATCCGCTGGTAGTCATGTATTTGGAGATCAAATCAATATCTTATAACGTACATCCCATTATTTGTCCACTTGAAACAAACCATTCAGCACAAACGGATCAACAACTTCCCTATTCTAGATCTCATTCTCACAAATGAAGTACACATAGTGGCGGTCAATAGGTCATTGCGAGTTTTCATTAGTTCACTCTTCTGCACAGAGACCACATAAAGTCTTCACTTCCTTCAGGTCCTCTTGGGTAGAAACACGTGAATCCCTGTAAACACAACCAATTATGGTTTGTTGAAAACATTCAACAAGCACGTGGAGAAGCTTGTCGATTATGCTTACCCGAACAAGATCATTCGCATCCTCAGGATTAAAAGTTGAAGTCGGGACAGAAAACGGGTAGACTAGCGGGTCCGCATGTGAAAACCAGGGTGATGCTCTCTGGGTTTGTGGCGAAGTCCAGCCAGTTGTGCGAGCATGTTACTCGGTGTGAAATAACAATATGGACATCCTCAAAGAAGCCGCAGAGAGTAAGGAACTGTCTCAGCAGTCTCGG